CCATTGGCGAAGTTCGCAGCCAGGAGGCTGCGCTATACCCGGTTGCATTCTTCGCAGAAGCGGATTTCCCCATCGGGAAATGTCGACGACCTGTTTAGGGGCTTAVAACGACGTAGAGGGGGCTGCAATCTGCAGCACAAGGGTGCGGTCATTGTCATAATACCGACCGGTCGCGGCGGCGGTCGCCCTTGTGCTTGGAGTTGGGGCGACCGCGCCCGCATTTTTTGTGGGTGGACGCCGGACGGCGCCAATTTTCTTTTTCGGGCTATTTGGTCCTTTTTTCGTTTGTCTTTTTTCGTTTTTTCCTCTTTTCTGCACTGCTGCTGTCGACGATCCGCGGTTGTAGACGTCTATTGCGCACGGATGTGCACGCCCGAGATCCCACTATCAAAGAGGGTTGTAGACTTGTAGTAAGTGTCTGAATGTGGACGTTTTTGTGGACAGATGCGAAAAATTGCCATTGATCTACTTCTATGCACCTCTTCGTGGAAACACGTCCAGCCCCGCCCCTCCAGGCTGCGCCTCCGTGCTGTGCGCGGTACACAGTATTCTACCACTCCGTTCACGATTTCAATCACGTGTGGCCTCCAGTGACCCAGCGCGGCCGTTGACGGCTTGGTAGTTTTCTAGCGGGAACTGTAAAGAAACCCCCCCACACGTCCAATGAAATGCATCGAAAAAAATAAGAAAAACAAAGAAAACCATAACTTGACGTGATAGCTCGTGACTTTGCGTCCAATGTTTCGCCGGAGTTTCACCCACTTATGAGGAGCTGAATAATATGTATATATATATATAAATATACATATACATATACATTTATATATACAACAAGGATATATACAAATACAGAAGAATATGCATATACAGAAGGATATATATGTAAATATACATATACATATAGTACTATATATATATATCTCCATATGCTGGGTAGTCTTGGGAGCATCCCGTGTTGGAAACCTGGTCCAACGAGTCAGCGACCCTTTGGGTAATTTGACAATTTCAAAATTAAGTGTGTGGACATTGAGATGTTTGTGACTGCACAAGACTGCATGACCTGCCTAAAAAGAAAATACGAAGCCAAAAAATATAACATTCCTGCGACTTTGTGCAGAATTGTTGTGAACTTGGTTGTTTCAACTTGTTTGTCAATTATCAATTCTTCGTGAACGGTGTAAGTTCGTGCAACACACACACGTAGACAATAATATGCACACCCATACATGCAACACAGACTATACAAGTAGGGACCTCTGTCTGCCCGACAACACAGAAATAGTACACGATGCACACAAACTGAGTAGGCAACGGAAAATTCCTGAAAGCACTATGCACGACTGTGGAGATAACATTGCGTGTTTAAACCGTGTTTCTCACTCTCTGACAGTACTCTCAAGACTCCCAATAGTGCCAACAAGTGGCAACAACCAATCACAAAAAGATACCTCATCCATGATCCTGCACCTGACCTCTGCCTTCCCGGCTATAGGCTCTCATGCTACGGGCCTAGGCCAAGGGCCTCCCGTCCTAGTGGTAGCCCGGGTCGCGGTCGACAGTCTCTCTCTCTCTCTCTCTCTCTCTCTCTCTCTCTCTCTCTCTCT